GTGTACGTTGCCCTGCACATATTTTATATATCATATATATAGATCTCACATATATATATATATATATAAAATTTCAAAAAAAACCCTCCAAAACCCTAAGCTAGGAAATCTCACATCCCCAGGAGGGTTGTCCTGTCCTTCCCCCACCTGTGCCAGGACCAGCAGAGGGGCAGCAGATGGAGTCCAGAGGAGCATCCAGGTGCCCCCACCTTGCCACAGCTCTGTGGGGGCTCAGTCAGTGCCCCCAGAGCCTTCGGTCCCGCTCTGCCCCGCGGCCCCTGCGCTCAGTTCCCGCAGGTTCTCCGCAGGATCTGGGCTCTGTGGGGCCTTCCCCGAGCTGAGACAATCCTGAGCAGCTCCTGCCACCTCTGAGCTGTCCTTCAAGGGCTCCAGCAGGTCAGGCTCTGCCCGGGGTGTGTGGGCACACAGGTCCTGCACTTTCTTGCTGAGGTCGTTCCGCTCCGTTTGCAGCGCTCGGCACAACTTCTCCAGGCGCTGGATCTTCACCTGGAGACCTTCCAGCTCCTTGTCCCGCAGGGTTTTCTGGCAGGAACAGAAGCAGAAAGGCACAGATGAAACCTGAGGGATGTGGGCAGAGGGTGACAGGACAAGGGGAAGGGGTTCACACTGAGAAAGGAGAGATTTAGGTGGGATATTGGGAAGGAATTTTTTCCTGGGAGGGTGCTGAGGCTCTAGTTTCCTTGGGGACTCCTCCACTAGCTCCTTACATGTGGGGTAAGAAGGCTTTCCTTGTTGTGTCTCCAGACAGGTTCAATGTTTTGGGGGTGGTGAGGGGGTTGGCACAGGTTGCCCAGAGAAGCTGTGGCTGCTCCATATCCCTGGAAGTGTTCAAAACCAGGTTGGATGGTGCCTGGAGCAACCTGTGCTGGTAGAAGGTGTCCCTGTCTATGGCAAGGGATGGGAACAGGATGATCTTTAAGCTCCTTTCCAACCCAAACCATTCTGTGATTCTAGGGAAGCTCAAGGGGAAACACTTGGGACCAAGCAAACATCGAGCATCCAAAGCACTTGATGCTACATCTCTGTTTCTTCCTCCCTTTGCCCCCTATGACACCGAGTGTCCCTCAGCCTGTCTGACCTCAGTGTCCCTGCACTAAGGCAGGAGTTGTCCCCTCACACTGCTCCAGAGCCTCCTTACCTCTTCTGCCATCTCCAGCAGAGCCTTGTTGCTGCTCTCCCAGCGGGAGCGATACATGGTGGTTTCCTTCTCCAACTTCTTGATTTTCTTAGTCATCTACAGAGTCACAAAAAAAGGGCACAAATAGAATCACAGACTTCCCTCAGCTGGAAGGGACCCACAAGGATCATCCAAGTCCAACTCCTGGCCCAGCAGAGACACCCCCAAGATAAAAAAACCTCAAATAATCCCCAGGCAAAGCACTGGAAGGACATCCCACATATCCTCATGTGCCACAAACTCCCCCAGCACAGCCCCTGGGTCTGGACCCAAAACTAAACCAAACTATGGAGCTGAGGCTCTTGCAGCTCACAGCAGCATTGAGGAGAACCAGGACAGGCAAAAGTCTTACTCACCTTCTCCATCTCCTGTTTAAATGTCGTGAACACTTCACTGCTTTTGGAGAGGGTGTTCTGGAATTCCTCAAACTTCTCTGTGTACAGAGCCAGCTGCAGGGAGAGACAGGGAGCTCAGCTCACAGCCTCCCCAGGGCAGGGGAGAGGCCACCCAAGGGCTGAGCTGCTTGTCCTGTGACACAAACCAAGAGCTGCTCTGCCAGCAGGAGGGACTGGGGAATGTGGGAATTCTGTCCTAGGGAAAGTTCTACAAACATCTCCTGGCCCTGGCAAGTGGCACTTGCTGGGGCTGACTCAGGGAGGAATGATCCTATGACTGTTCCCAGCACTGGGAAAAGCCAAAGAAAAGTCCCTTTCTCCCAGAAGGCAGAACCACTGATCGAAGTCTCAGCTCACCAGCACCAAACCCAGGAGAGATCCTGCCCCTGGTTTGTTTTTTTTCAGGTTAAGGAACTTTTGAGTTATTCCCTACTTAGGGAGGAAGGCAAAAACCCCAAACAAACCAAGCAGAGCACAGAGATCAGGTCACTCACCTGCTGCTTGAGATGGGTCTCCTGCTGCTTCATCAGCTCACACATCCTCTGTGATTCCACAGCCTCCTTCAGCAGCTAGGGAAGAGCAAAAACAGCTACCAGGGGATGCTCTTGACACAGGCCTGGAGATGGGAGTGGGCTGGGAGAAGTGCAAGGAGCAGAGCAGAGCTCCAGCCTGGCTCCTGAAGCTGCTCAGGAGGCACTGCTGGGTGTGCCAAGATCTGGGATAACCTGCTCAGGGATGCAG